AAAAATGCTCAAACCGTGAAGAAGTGGACATAAAGTCATCGTGTATGCGAGGTCCCTAAGGTAAGCGTAAGCAAGTTGAGCTTATTCACCTTAATCTCATTTATATTTTAAAACATATCACTGCAACAGTATCCGCTTTGTCAACATTGCCCTTGACTACATTTATCAAGGATCTGTAAATATATTATCTACACATCAATTCAATTTCATATAATGGATAGGTCCCCGAGTAAGGTACTTTTGCAGGCACTGGAATCGGAAGTTGACTTAGACGCTGTATATGCGAGACGACTGGAGCCTCTGTAACTTGATGCTGTCCCAAATCCACTCAGGCGAAATCCTCCGGCCGCGCCACGATGAAGGCCATTTGTCCTGCAGGCGAAGAGAAACGTAACGCAAATGATGGAGCCGCGAACACATAATTTCCGATTCAATCTCTGACCGGCCATCTGTGACCTATTTCTCACATCGTTATTGAGATTATACTAAATATGACTAACGAGAACTGAATAAGACTTGGGATAAACAAGGGAAAGAAAGAGGCGCAAGTTCAAGGGAAAGAAAGAGACGCAAGTTCACGGTAAAACGAAAAGATGACGAAGACTTACTTCTTTATCCACCACCAAATGTGTGGCTTCGCTCGCCTGGTAATCTGGCAACACGTCTCCGCCGTATCTGAGAGTACTTCAGTTAAGGAATTATATCTTAAAAATCATTGATCTCGGTGAGGAAGGCAGCCTACAATGAAAATAGAAAAATAGTGTTAAAAAGGACTGACAGAGATCATTTTCCCAATTGCAAAAATGACACGAGAAGAGGGAATGGCACGAGATGAAGCAGGATGAAGGGGAGGAAGGAAATGGGACAAGACGGGGAAGGCTGCCATAAGGCTTCGGCGCACGACCTAAGAACGGAGGAGAGAACGACCCTCATCTGATTATCCGAGGACGCGAGAGCAATGCAGACCCAGCTACGACCCGCCTGTCTTCCTCCCAATACTGCCTGCCTCCCTGCCGGACGAACAGTGACTGACTGACGGACGGTCTGAATGACTCACTCACTGACTCACGACTTTGACTAACTGTCCAACCGATAGATTACGCATTTCACTAGATTTCCATTGCTGTAGCACAGGAAAAATCATACTGAACTCCCTGATACCCAGTGTCATATTTCGTTGGTAGAGGAATATTCGCGTCATTTGCATCAATAAAAGATACACATGAAATATAATAAAATATATTTTCCACTTTGATAAACATACCATAGCATACTTTGAAGTGATAGACGAAATCGCTCATGTAAGCGTCTGAAGTATTGATCAACAAAAAATTATTTACTATGAATTTTCTACTCTAAATTAATAAGCGCTTTGATGTTTTCCTTTCAGGTGTGCACAAAAGTTATTAACAGCTAGATCACTAAGATTCTTAAAGTCAAGAAGTCCAATTCAGTGTTTTCAAATATTGCATGCGACGCTGAATATTCTTTGTACTCTTGTCTGCATGTACATTTTGCAAACATCAGAGTGAGAGCTGTGAGTACGCCATCTCGCAAAGGAAAAAACGGGAGCAGCTTTAGCCTTCCCGAAGCATCTCCATTTTTGCTTCCTTGTTGGCGGCGTGCGGGGCGGAAGCGAGACTCGTTCTTCCCGAGAGCCTAATTGCACACTAATGGAATCGGCTCCGGCCGAGGGGCCTTCCCTCCGCGCCCACACGCCGGCCAGGCCACCTGATGGGGCGACGATTTGCTTAATGGCGGACTGATGCTCCATCACTCACTTCCCGTCCCTCCGCCCCCGAGACACCTCGCCAGGTAACAAGATTCACCTTTAACAAACCTTCAGCAATTTGTGCGCCGCAACCTGATACTCAGATAATCGGGCGCTTCCTCGAGGGATTGCCCCCCCCCCCCACTTCCCCCGACACTGACAACAGTTGCTAGCCATCCACATCGGCCAGCGCATCAAGGGTGTCTTTGGGAGCGCGTCTAAGCGTCTTTTCGCTCCTCTGCCCGGGGCTTCGCTGGATCAAGGGAGGAGCTCTTTCTAGGACTTCATTCTGCTAGACTATAAACGAACAGGAATTTTAGCTGTTAATAATATTGGTGTAAGCATCCTTTGCAAAGATATAATTTCCACATATAAGCTTTTGGCTCTTAATTTATGCGAAAAGAAGAAAATACATGAATCTAATCAGTATTTTTTTCCGTACATATTATTGGGAACTGTCTCCTTCATACTGACCAAGACTTTTAGAGGTCTTGTTCGGGCACCGAATGCCGGAATCTATAGTTTGACTGATAAATTCGCTGATCCTGACATTACACAAGTCAACCTTTCAAATTCCTAATCTTATTTCCTCGCTGTTCCCTTATCACACTTACCTTTTCGCAGTGAATAACCTCATAATCTACTTTTATCATCTAGTAGATGCTTTTTATCTCAGCTGGAAAGCCAGCAACACTTCTACTTTCTTGACGCGCTAAGAGGAGTAACACAAACCGGAACCAAGGTCCCGAAGGAGCGCCTCCCCACCCCCCTTTTACACCATTTATGTCCGTCTCGGAGTCGTAATCATCTAAGGTCACGTAGCGGCTCTCGGTGACCTTGTTACGTGGCCCTGTGTAATCCTCCGCCCATTTGTTCAGTCCTCTTCCGAAAGACGGAAAGGCACACTGGAAGTGGGGATAGCATGCATATAGGGGAGACGGGGAGAATGTAAAAAAGAAAGAATTGAGGATGCATATAAAATGAAGAGGGGAAATAATGTGGACCAACTATACACTAAAACAAACACAAACACACACAACACACACACACACACACACACACACACACACACACACACACACACACAAACACACATCCATATACATATACATATGCATATACATATACATATACATACATATACATCGATACATACATACATATACATAGATATATATATACATAACATATATATATATATATATATATATATATATATATATATATATA